CAACAACAACAACAACAACAACGACAACATAGTATAATCCTACTTATTCAATCTGCAAGTAACACAACTTTAAAAGTACTGTCTCTAACATAGATTTCTAAGCCTTGAGTGCTCACCAGGGTTCTTCTGTATTTAGCTTTGTCATGACACTGCATCCCTCTGTGCCTCAGTTTCTTCCCTTGTTGGTGGAATGCAGTCACTTCCTGCTGGTCTCCCCAGGCCCTGAATAGAGAGGCCACCTCCCAGAACTCAGTGGACTCGGTTCTGCCTCTTTCTCTGAAGTCATCCCGCCCTCCTCCTCACCCATGCCCCGCATGCCCAGCATGGCGTCAGGGCTTTCCTCGGGCTCTCTCCGTTCCCTGTGCTTGGCTCCAAAGCCTCCAGAGAGCAAGTGCTGCTGGGAGGAGATTGCCCATCCTCCTCCGGTGGAGCCGCTGGGCAAACCTTTAGGACCGCAGCGCAGCTTCCTAGCATTCGGCCGCCAGAGCGCCCTTGCTGTCACTAGCACTGGATTCTTTTCACGAGAGGGCTGTCTCAGGGCGTGACCAGAGCCTGGTGTGCAGGAAGCACACGGTAAGTCCTGTGAAGGGAAGGGGCATCAGTTCTGCCTGCGATTCTTCACACTCAGCCCCACGTCTCTGGCTAACCTTACATCCAGCGAGGGCCTCTGTGTCTGGTGGTCTACTTCTGAAAAAGCGCCTTGGAAGCCCCTGTGACTCACAGAGCTGCTCTGACCCACACCGTCACCATGGCAACACCGCCTGGGTTAGGGATGTGCAGATGTTGTTGTCTGGTGCAGTGGTGTGAGCTCTGACGCATAGCCATGCTATGTAGGATGGAACTTGCCTGCTCCCGCTGTCCTCACATTCCCCGATGCACTTACAGTCTCTTCATCAGCCCGCTTTGAGTCTTTCCCTGTGGTTCACGGCTTCTTGTAGTAACCCAGCATGCTGGCCTCCAGGGGCTGGCCTCTCCCAGTGAGAGGCCTAAGCGTGTGGAACCAAGCCATGCCATCCTTGCCTCTACCACTCTGTACCCCTCTGGCTGCTCGTTTTCCAAGATCAGTTTTTTCTGCTGTCATTGTTCTTGTTGACAGTCCATATTTAATATTTTCCTTTTCACCAAAATTTCTCCCTCAGCCATGTCGGCCAATTCCACAACTCAAAGGTTGTTTTATTGATTTTCCTTATTCTTTATCCAATGTTCACATGCATAGGAAACAAGTGAAATACCTTAGCTTGAGTCAGGTACACCTCAGTCTTTAAAGTGACACCTTGCCCTTTAAAGAGGACCCTGGCAGCAGATTTGCCCACAGATTTGCAATATGTCACCATCCTAGAACTAAGGGTTGACAACATGTAGAGTAATTATGTCTTATCACAAAACAGATGATTATATACTATGGAGAATCTTGGTTAAGTGAAGTTGACATGTACTTGGTGGGACACAGTTCAATGCATAACACCTCACTAGCCGATGAGGAGTAGATGCCGCTCCATTTGCTTTTACATATGGGGAAACTGAGGCACTGAGCAGTTAGTGTGCCTCAGAGCCAAGTTCTGCAAATGGTATAGCGTAGTAAATATCCATGTTTTAAAAGAATTTCTTGAAAAGCCCTTCTAATTTTTAATCTATGTTCAAATTTCGAAACCATCTCAGGAACAGGTTTGAGGCCTTGAGCACCAATGAATGTAGACCAAATGAACTCTGGGAGGATATCAAGAAAATCGTCCATGAAGAATGCAAAAGATCATTACAAAGGCTGAAGAAGAAGAAAAGACCAAGATGGATGTCAGATGAGACTCTGAATATTGCATTAGAGTGCCGAGAAGCCAAAGCTAAAGGAAGAAACAAAAAAATGAAAGAGCTTAACAGAAAATTTCAAAAGGCAGCCTAGGATGACAAAGCAAGATACTATAATGAAATGTGCAGAGAGCTGGAGTCAGAAAATCAAAAGGGCAGAATTTGCTCAGCGTTTCTTAAGCTGAAGGAGTTGAAAAATAAATTCAAGCCACTGATGGCAATAATTAAGGATGCTTTGAGTAGAGTGTTAAATGATCCAGGAAGCATCAAAAGAAGATGGAAGGAGTACACCGAGTCACTGTATCAGAAGGAATTGGCTGACACAGAGGAATTTCATGAAATAACATATGAGCTAGAGCCTATGGTGATGAAGGAGGACGTTCAAGTTGCTGTGAAGGAATTGGCAAAAAATAAAGCTCCAGGAGTTTACAGCATACCAATTGATTTATTTGAACAAACATTCGCTGCCCTGAATGTGCTCACTAAGTTGTACCAAGAAATCTGGAGGACAACAAGCTGGCCAACTGACTGGAAGAGAAAACATTTGGAGCAATATGTCAACAGAGAACTGCCAAATGTGCAGGCTGGGTTTTTAAAAGAGGCCGTGATACTGGGGATATTATAGCTAATGTTAGATGGATCTTGGAAAAAGCAGAGAATACCAGAAGAATGTCTATCTGTGCTTCATTGACTGTGCATAGGCTTTTGACTGTGTGGATCACAACAAGCTGTGGCTGACTCTGAGAAGAATGGGAATCCCAGAACATTTGATTGTGCTTATGCAAAACCTATACTTGGACCAAGAAGCAGTCATCAGAACAGAGCAAGGAGACACTACATTGTTCAAATTCAAGAAGGGAGTCCGTCAGGGTTGTATTTTGTCTCTATACCTTTTCAATTTATATGCAGAACAGATCATCCGAGATGCTGGGCTGTATAAAGAGGAATGTGGCATCAGGACTGGTGGAAGAGTCATCAACAGCCTGTGTTATGCAGATGACACAACCCTGCTCACTGAAACTGAGGACCTGAAGCGCTTGCTGCAGAAGGTCAAGGACTGCAGCCTTCAATATGGATTGAAGCTCAGCATCAAGAAAACAAAGATTCTCACCAATTGGCAGCATCAGCATGGATGGTGAAGAGATTGAGACAGTTAACAGTTTTAGTTTGCTTGGCTCCACAGTCAACACTCTTGGTAACAGCAGCCAGGAAATCAGGAGACGAATTACATTGGGAAAGTCAGCTGTGAGGGACCTCTCAAGAGTACTAAAGAGCAACGATGTCAGGCTGGAGACTAAGATGTGCCTGATCCAGGCTATAGTCTTCACAATTACGTGCTATGCATCAGAGAATTGGACAGTGACTAGAGATGATAGAGAATTGATGCCTTTGAGCTGTGGTTCTGGAGAGGAGTGTTGAATATACCGTGGACTGCTAGGAGAACAAACAGGTTTGTCCTGGAGAGGGTGAAGGCAGAATGCTCCTTGGAGTCAAGGATTCTGAAGCTTCGTCTGACATACTTTGGGCATGTTGCAAGGAGGAACTGGTCCCTGGAGAGGGACATCATGTTTGGGAGAGTGGAGGGACGGTGCGGGAGAGGAAGACCCTCAATGAGATGGATTGATTCTGTGACTGAAGTGGTGGGAATGAGTGGGTCAGAGATGGTGAGATTGGCACAGAAGAGAGCGGTATTTAGGGGTCTTGTACATAGAGTCACTATGAGTAGCAAACGACTTGATAGCACATAACAACAGCATGTCACATGTAGATATTTATTTGGTTAACATATTTTAACAAAGCAAATATTTCTCTCTTAAATAGCTCTAAAGATGAACTGGATCAAAACCGGACGGTGAAAGAACTTGAGGTGCAGCTAGGAGAGAAGGTAATGGAGATCTTCTTCCTTTATTTTCCCTCCTGAGCGGAAGGCAATTGTCAGCAGAGGCAGAGATGCTCATGGTGCCCAGCCGATGGGAAGCTCGGTCAGCCGGGCTGCGCAAAGCTGCCGTTCTGGGGGCCTGGCGCGGGGACCTGGCGCGGGGGCCTGGCGCGGGGGCCTGGCGGGGGGCCTGGCGCACAATCCCACCCAGAATCTTGGACCCTGAACTCTCTTTTACATTAGCTTTTGAGCTTCAGCAACAGGATAGCCTTTCATTATTCTAAGACAGAAGCAGTATTTCCTGCAGAAAGAGAAAACCCACCACTTTTAAGCAGTTGATGCCAGTTCAAAGCAGCCTGGTAAGGAGGAGCGATAACTCCGGCTGATGGGGATTGCGTGCGCACTGAGCAACCCGCCATGAAGGCTGCCCTCCGCTAGCGCGCTCGGACACAGGGCAGCCGGCCCCTGCAGCTCATCGGCTGCCAGGCTCCCTCATGCTGCAGCCGGGGGTGGGGGTGGCGGGCGGTGGTGCGCACCACTCAGCCATGGCACTGGGCCCTTTTTTAAAATGCACCCAGGCCTGTCAGTTAAACGAACAGTTTGAGAATCCTGGTGTCTTTTGCTGATTCCGTGCGTTGCTCCAGAATGTGACAGGTTTTCTGTCTTTTTAGAACTCTTCTGAAACTCCTACATTTAAAAATAAAAAATATCCAGAAGGCCACAAAGCATTTGTTGAAATGGCCTTGGCTGATGCAGTTAGCGCCAGAAAAGGTCCTCTTACTGCGATCATGCTGGTGGTGGTGTTAGTGTCACTTGCGTCTATAAAACGATGTCACTCAAGTTTCAGTAGAAATCCTGGCATAATCATTGCTGCTATTGCTACAATCTGTCTGTTACTTTGTAAGAAATATGTAATGTAACTTATGGTGTATGGGTGGCATGTATCTTCTCTCTGGCTGTCCTGGGCTGTGTTAGTGCTGCCAAGCCCTACAAAGTCAGTTCACTGGGACCATGGTTCCTCAGCGGAAGATGCATCTGCTGGTTCGTGTAGCGTGACAGGGTGTGGAGAGCATGACGCAGGCCAGGACTGCAGATTGCCCTTGACAAGGCTTCGGTGAGCAAAGGAAGCCCTCCCTCTCCCTCCTTCCCTTCAGCTCCCCGCCCCTCCCGGCCCCGCCCCGGCCAGCCCCCAGGAGCCCCTCCCCGCTGTGGAGTTGGGCTTAAACCCATGCAGTTTTCAAGGCAATTGTGTGAGAACAGAGGTGAAAGCGATGAGTGGCTGGATTTGATGCTTGGTTGGATTTGTCTCCTGTGTGGACTGGTCTCACAAACCAGTGTGGCTTTTAAGGCAACTTTGTGAGAACCTTTGCGAAGGTTGTGAGCGGCTGGAGTTGATGCTCAATCGGATTTGTCTGCTGTGTGGACAGGTCTCACAAACCACTGAGCCAGGCTCGCCTCCGAACCCAGCCTGGGCAGGCCGGTGTGGGTGCCGAGCTTGAGCTCGCTGCCCCCGTCACCCCTGGGGCTCTGCCACTCACTAACCAGGTGGCCTTGGGCACGTCCTGATCGCTGGACTTCTCATCTGTCAGAGGTGACAGCTCCACACACCTTGAAGTACCATGTGCAGCAAAGCCGGGGGCCTTGAAAATCCTAGCTGGGTGAGGTCAGTCACGCCTGGCTTGAATGAAAAGATCTCTGTCGTTAGTTACAAGGAAAACACTTCTTTTCAGCCCAGCTCACACAGTTACTGTACCTATTGATGTTGGGTGCTGCGCCGTAGGTGACTCCTGCAGCAGATTGAAAACTCGCGCTGTCCTGCCCCATCCTCACCCCGACCCCGTGCTCGAGCCCTGTGTTGCTGTCACTGCCTTATCCTTGAAGGTCCTCCTCTTTTGGCTGATCCTCTGCTTCTGTCAGTGTGATGTCTATTTCTGAGGACTGACGACATGCGGAAGGTACATGAGACCCGATCTCTGTCCTTGCTTCCAGGGAGGACCCTTCCTGCCCTTCCTCCAGGACGGGCTTGTTTGTTCTTTTAGCTGATGAAGAACTCTTCCATCCTCCTCACTGACACTCCCCAGAGGTATCGGGCCTTCTGTCTTCCTTATTCGTTGTCCAGCTTTCACATACATAGGACTCCACCTCCTCACCGCTGCTGGTTACCGCTTCTCTGATGTGGAGGCCATAAAGCCGCCCTCTGGAGGCATCACTGGAGGGAAGGAGTACAGCACACGTGGAGGCCTTGACACGCAGGGCTCAGCAAATGCCATCCCTCCCTTCGCTCTGGTCGCCTCGTTGAGGAAAGATGGAGAAGGAGGGGAGGAATGATGTATACTGCATTGAAACTGATGAGGGAGAGAACTGTTTAAAAGGGATATGTGATTAGGTATTATTGTCATGACAGGAGTCCAGAACGAAGGCTGCATAGTGGAGTGGACTTAGGGGCGGGATTGTATAACAATGAACGAATTTTTCTTTTACTTTTCAAAGAGAAGAACAAACTGGATGAAGAAGGGTGGGCAGGGGGAAAAGTGTAACACTGAATGGAATGGAAATCCAAAGTCTCTGTAAACCTTCATTAAAATTAATTAAAAAAAAAAAAAAAGAAACTGCACTCCAATCCCAAAGGCACATGGTTCAAATCACCAGCCGGACTGCGGAAGAATGATGGGCTCTCTCCTGCCATGTAATTCACTGTGTCTGAAAACCCTCAGAAGGGTCAGCTCTGGGTCAGTTCCCATGTGAAGGCTTGCAGCCACCAACCCTTCACTGATGGGTGCCCTTGTCAAGCCCTCCAGGCCCCTGCCTGTGGTGGGCCGCACCTGCCACCTGGTGGCATCAGCTCCACTGTGGTGTTTGGATCCAACCGTCTGGCATCAGTTGAACTTACGGTGACCCTTCCTCTCTCTGGAATGGGACTCAGAAGCCAGAAGGGAGTGTGGGCACAGGCCTGGCTGTCTCGTGGGTCCCCTGGGCTCGTGTACCTCTCTATGCTTTCAGCACCTTGTCCCTCCTCAACTCCACGTGTAACAAGCAGACACTGATGTCAGATGTTCCCAGAGGAGACTCTGAACACTGAGGAGCTTCTCCCTCACCTCGCAGCCCAGCACTGTGCTCCGCTCCCACAGCCCTCATCCCAGTGGAATTGGTCACTGCACTGGCCTGGCGAATGCAAGTGAATGCATTTGAGAAAGGCAGCCAGTGGTGTCTGCGTCACCCACCTTCTGGAAGGATCCTCTGAGGCAGCTGGGCTCTTTGGAAAGTCACATTTCCAGATTTTGCCAACTCACTGGCTTGGCCATGAGGGAGGATAAAGCCATTTGCACCTATAAAGATGGACAGCCTCAGAAGCTGTGTGAACCAGAACCACAGTTACGGCCGGGCCACTGGCCTGATGGGGACTGGCAGAAACACAAGAGGATGGCCTTAGCTACACTTTGATCCTTGACCTGGACTCAACTCTGTGATGTAACCTTCAGCCAAACATCAGACAGATAAGGCAGCAGTAACACCGTTGAGACACTCACCAGGTTACGTCCCAGTAATAGAGCTTGTCCAGCGATAAGGCTTGGAAGGTGGGAGGACCATGGAAGGAAGGGAAGGAAAACAGAAGCCCAGCAGGGTGATCGTTCTTTGTCCTTTAGGGTTGCCATGAACTGCCATCAAGGCAATGGCAGTGGGCTTGGTCATTTTTTTTAAAAGTAATAATTCTTTGTTGTTGTTGTTGTGTACCATCGAGTCGGTACCAACTCATAGTTGGCCCTTCAGTGGGTTTTTAGAGGCAGTAAATCCCATGGGAGGAGATTACTGGTGGATTTGAACTGTGTGCCTTTGGGTTGGCAGAGCACCTCCTTACCCCTGCGCCCCCCTGGTCAGGACTTAATGAGGAGCCTGCTGGCACAGTGGCTGACCGCTCAGCTGCTGATGGAGAAGTGGGCAGTGTGAACGCACCCAGTAGCTCCAGGTGAGAAGGGCCTGGCCAGCAACGTGTTCTACAGAGCTGACAGCGTGGGAAGCCCTCGGGGTCAGCTCTGCTCTGCCCGGTACAGTGCCTGGATGGGTGTGGACGCAAGGCCGCCCACCAGCAGCAGCACTTCAGGGTGCTATTTGAGGTCTTTACTGTGCCCACACATTTAGTTCTCAGGAGAACGGCCTGAGGGAGCTCCACCCGGGAGTTTCCCCTGAGCCCCCCCTCCCCTGGGCCCTGTCCTCTGGTTCCCTCATGGCCCTGCAATATCTAGCTCTCTCCTCCCTGCTGCCCGTTTGAGGTCTCCCTGGGCCCTGTGGTTTGGCCCTTCACGGCCCTGCAATGCCCAGCTCCCTCCTCCCTGCTGCCCATCTGAAATCTAGCACTTGGGTTCTTCAGCTGCTTCAAACTGAGAAAGCGACCAGGGAAAAAAGGACCAAAGGAAAATAAAGAAGAGTCATCACTTAATTTTCATTATGATCTGGATGATTTACAGAGCAGATCAGTCTTCTGTGCGACGTTGAGTGCGTTGTGTTTCATGCCACCGGTGCCAGTCCCAGGGGTTCCATCCCTCGCCCCACCCACTGCAAACGCGGGTGCATTGTCACATGAACCCAGCTTGGGCCTCTGCACTCTGCTCTGCCCCCTCTCAGGTGCTAGTGAAAGTGAGAAGAAAGTATTTACAGAAAAAGGGCTTCTCAGCTGGCTGCATCTGTTGAAGAGCCACGTCCAGGGCATTCCTGCGAAACAGCAGTTCAGACCTTTCTAAGAACCCAGCACGGGCTTCAAGACGCAGTGGATTTCCCATGCCCTCACTCCAAACCTGCAGACTAGAGCTCAGGGTAGATAAGGTAGTTAGGGTAGAAAAAGTAAAACAAACACACTCAGGGCCTGAACCATGTCCTCCAATGCTACGTCACCTCCTGGGGACAGAGGAACTCTCCTGGGTGCCGTGATACCAGGACATCTGCTCGGCCCCATCAGCTGTGACCAGTGTCTGCAGACACCAAGCCACGTGAGTGTTTGCAGGCTCTGCCCT